TCTCTTCTCTTGTCAAAATTAGGAACTTCAAGCACTGTGCATCTAGAACTAATCTCGGCACCAGGATTCTCCTTTGAGCACTTTGGAGAAATGCAACTTTCGACTGTCTTGGTTTCCTTAACAGTAGGCTTAATCGTAGCCCCAAGGTATAATGTGCTTACATTCAGTTTTGTAGTTGTTTCAATTAAATAAGCGATCGACCACTTCTCTACCAAATCATTTGCAGCCGAGTGCTTTGCAAGCTACTCATAACCACGTGAAGTGCTAACTGACGTTTTTTTTACTTTATCACGATGTTAGAGGTGGCAAATGGTCCTTCATAAACCATGGGTCTCGCAAAATGTTTGTCGAATTTCACGGATCTCGCGGTACCGTTGTTTTAGGCGGTTCCGTGCATCTCGGTGACTGTGGATAAACAGCAAATTAAACAAGATTGCTCGTCGAAGTTAAATGAATGCACAGACAATTGAAATCCATTTTATCGAGGAGATTCCTCAACCTGAAGTCAAAGAGCATATTCTTATACGATATGATTCGATTGAAACAAAACATACATATAAAGGCAAGTAAAAATGTCGTTTACCGATGAAAAAAAATAAAGTTACAAAAAGGTTCTACATAAGTCAATAATTCACAAATGGCAGAATCAAAAAACACTTCGCAATAAGAGCTTAAAACTAAAACTGCAAAATATTGCTATAAAAGTTGAATTTTTAAGACTGAGATACCAGGATACTCAACTTCCCGAATAGCCTAGCTTACGTAGCAGGCATGCGAGTACCAAAACCTTGAAAAATGACAATGTTCTCTGGTGTTTGGATTACACATATTTTCTTGTAATATTTGAAAACAAAACACCGTTCTAAAGTCAAGGGAAGGAATGCCACATATCAATCTTAACTATTAATATTCTTTTTATTGATCCAGCTATACATCAGGATTTTTTAAGCTTCCAAAGCTGCCAAAACTTCCAAAGCTTCCAAAGCTTCCAAAGCTTCCAGAGCTTCCGAAGCTTCCCAAGATTGAACTTCCGAAGTTTCCTCCTCCCTGTGGCGTCTCCCTACCTCAGCACAACAATTTAATCGGCTGTAAAGTTCTCAGGAATATCCCTGTCGACAAGAACAAGTTGATTTACAGGTTAAAGCGCCAGGATGAATTGAATGGATTTGCCCTTCTAAGCACCAATCCGGTAGAGCTGAGAATAATTGCTCTAGCCGATCCATTCATGAGTGATTACACGCATCACTATCTACTGCAGGCAGCCGAGGCCATAGGATCTGTTGTTAAATATGGATTGACAAACAACTTAAAAAAGGAGATCAACGACATCTCGGAATATCTGAAGGTGACAGATTGGTTCCAGAATGCGATGGAAAATAAGGGACTGGTAAATACACGTCTTTTTTTCTTTAATTTATAATTAACTAGCAACAACTCTTCTCCACTTCGGAGAAACTTGTGAGTCTACGAAGTGCACCACGGTTGATGCTGTTGGAATGCGGCATATCTGCGTGCACTTTGCAGAAAGGTGTACGAATTAAAGAAAATCAGGTAATCTTTCTAACAAAATTTTAATGGGTGGATTTGGGAGACTAATAAAACCAAGAACATTGACCAACCGAGAAATCTGCCGTGATTTTTTTCTTGCAATATTTGCCAGATGATGATCGATGATAGAAATGGTAATGGTGATAATGATGGTAATGCTGATGATGATAATAATGATGACGGTGATGATGATGGTAAAGATAATGGTGGTAGCGGTGGTGCTGGTGCTGGTGCTGGTGCTGGTGCTGGTGCTGGTGCTGGTGCTGGTGCTGGTACTGGTACTGGCGGTGGTGATGATGATGATAGTAAAGATGCTGGTGGTAGTGGAGGTGGTGGTGATGGTAGTGGTGGTGGCGTTGGTGCTGGTGCTGGTGCTGGTGCTGGTAATGATGATGATAGTAAAGATGCTGGTGGTAGTGGAGGTGGTGGTGATGGTGGTGATGGTGATGGTGATGGTGATGGTGATGGTGATGGTGATGGTGGTGGTGGTGGTGGTGGTGGCGGTGGTGCTGGTGCTGGTGCTGGTGATGATGATGATGATGATAATGATGATGATGATAATGATGATGATGATGATGCTGATGATTATGATGATGTCAGTATAGGATTCTTAGACTGATTTCACCAATTAGGTGCCTTTCTATCTCAATTAGTTAACTAAGAAACTGGAGAAGTATACGAAATTGCCCTCCCGTCACGAGGACTTTAATAACAACAAGCCCAGATGGATCAGCGACAAGTTATTTGCTCAGCAGCGCCTGGCTGGAACTAATCCAATGTCGATCCAAAGAGTGACCAATCACGACGAAGGTAAGACTGTTACCTTGGTAACCAATCATACTCCCGAGCAAGTACGTTGTTCCAATAGAACCTTGTGCACATGTAAGCAAATCTATACGCCAAGCTGAACGAGATGTCCGACTCAGTAAGACAAGACAAGAAAAAGCAAAACATATAGCTACAATAACACTTAGAGACGTAATGTTGTGGTCTCTTTATTCCCTATGTAAAGTCAAATTTGAAGAATAAATATAATCAGGAACCATAATCGGGGACGGAGACCGTAAGCGCGCACCATTTCTAGTATTGGGGCTGTCCCTATGATATGGGACCATTTTTTCTATTTTTAGAACAAATTGCGCCATCATGTGCGGTACACGCGCGTACATGCTGCGAGGATTTTGGGGGATGTAGCGCGGAGGAAATGGCGTCCGAAATTCCCAAAATGTTTGATGCTTTTGGCCCACAACTCAATACGTTCATGTCCGTTGGAATTTCGCTTCAGTGTTTTCGTCGTAAGCTGCTCCAGCTTGAGTGAAGTAAGACTGCCGAATTTAGATATGTCCCGCTTTATATCACTGACCAAGTTGTGTTCCGCTGCTTTTTTTACAAGAGCTCCACATTACTCCACTCGAAGTTTCACATATGTTGAAGATTAACAGCTTTTCCATAACACAGCAAAAAGCTAGTTGGATATATTTGGATATAGCAGCGTTTCRGGACTTCAAAGTTTCCCTCCTCTTACCACACGCTTGCGAGGATTTCGCCAGAGTCTATCTTGCCCGAAACGTAAAAATAATAATAATTGCAAGTTTGAGTTTCGACTGAATTGTAAGCAACGCTTTGTATTTTATCAAGGCGCGATAAGTGACAATAAAGTTTATGTCTGTAGATGCTGCTCCGTTTTGTTTATGTAAAAATCCAATAAATTGTCTGTTGTCGATGAATAAGAGCGCCCGCCGATGCGTGTTTTGTATAGACAGTAAAACATGACAATTGCACTTCCACACTTTCGTGTGAAAACTTACATCGAACTCATATAATATCTCTAGTTCTTAAATATGTTTAAGGTTGATAAATGTTTGAGAACATATTAAAAGCTTAGCTGAAAATGTGTGAATACGGCAGAAATAATCAGCAAAGTTACGATGACGCTTTTTTAACCAACTCAAGTAACGATTGAGTTGGTTGAGTTATCAAAACTCCTTGTCTATTGATTGAGCCAGCAAAACTCATTGTCTATTTTATTTTCGCAGTGTAAAATTTCACTATGTTAAAGAAAAGCACGTGATGTTAGTAGCCTTTCGGTGTTGGTGAAATTGTTGCAGTATCTCAGCACGGACAACGAAAGAAATCTTTGTCAAGATTTGTTGACAATTGAAAACACCGACTCGGACTTGAAAGTGTTGGCGCTGCACTATGGAAATGAGCTACTTAATGTATGCGTCAGACTTTCCTTTCAAAAACTTTTGCAAACTCGCCAAACAAACAGAAACAATACGAAACTATCAAAAACAGGGTTTGGTTATGATTTTAGCATTGTTCGGGAAACTCACAAATTAACTCGATACCACAGTAAAGAGTTTTCTTACATAACTTTTGATTACAGAACAAACCCAACTAGCTCGAGCAGATATTATTCATTCACAGCGCGAAATTGGAGTCTTGTTTTCGACTCTGAAAAACTCACCTTTTCCATTAGCTCAGAGCATAGAACTGCATATAAGAGCCCTGGTTCTTATTCCCTGCCTTATAATTATTCCCTGAAATCGCTGTGAAAAATCTGGAAGAGAATCTCGCCACTCTCACCGTTTGATCAGGCAACGTGACAACATCCACGCGAGTAGAGCCCCCGACATGTGCGTAGATCAGCGCGGATATAAGACATTAGGATGGCGCAATTTGCTCTAAAAATAGAAAAATTCTCCCATATGATAGGTGCGCGCGGATCCCAAGACTTACGGTCTCCGTCCCCGATTACGGCTCCTAATATAATCGGGTTTTACATTCTCAGACGCGGTAGGACTGGACTGGAACAAATTGAAGACAACACTAAATCCTACTTTTGACTGGGACTCTGCTGTGCAGGCCGCTCTGAGGAATACAGATTCAATTGAAGCTGTATGTATTCTGTATTTTGCCATAGAGCTGAAGGGCGTTCACTTCTTGAAACTAATTATATTTTGTTTGAGAAAAGTCTGGATTGTAGTGAAATGTTACTTTACATTTTTAGGCCATGAAACAAGGTCGCATCTACGCTCTCCGTTATGAGTTGTGTGACGACATGGAACGAGCACAGGACAAGACTGATCATGACCCTAGAAGGGCTATGTGGGACTTTTTTTCTCCAATTGCCGTTTTTGCTTCTGCGAAAAGAGGCCGATCTAATGAACTTGTGCCTGTTGCCATACAAATGGATTACAAACCGGGTAGGTTAGAACTTATACATACTCAGAAGAATTAAGACCGTTTTCTTTTATCCAAGAAGTGCATCTTTTTTATACACTAGAGTTTATCATATGCCATTACCTTTTGCCATATAAAAAATGCGCCTAGGATACCAAAATGAAAGTATAAAGTGAACTACTGATAGTAAAACTTATTGCTGTGAATCTCTAACTATTTTTCCCAGGCCCAATGGCAAAACTTGAAAAAATCATGCGGGTGTTTTTTTTTCAGATTAAAACTGCGCGCCTGCAAGCTAGATTCGTAATAACATCCTTTAATTTGGTTCTAGTGTAGCAATTTCTCAAATAAAACTACTCCATTAATTGAGGCCTTGATTTTGCTTTTGAACTTGCGAGACTCTCAACACATCTAAATTCCCTTTGAGGTTTTACTCCTAGCTTACNTGATCATGACCCTAGAAGGGCTATGTGGGACTTTTTTTCTCCAATTGCAGTTTTTGCTTCTGCGAAAAGAGGCCGAGCTAATGAACTTGTGCCTGTTGCCATACAAATGGATTACAAACCAGGTAGGTTAAAACTTATACATACCCAGAAGAATTAAGACCGTTTTCTTTTATCCAAGAAGTGCCTCTTTTTTACACTAGACCTTATTATATGCCATTACCTTTTGTTATATGAAAAATGTGCTTAGGATACCAAAATGAAGGTATAAAGTGAACTGCTGATAGTAGAACTTATTGCTGTGAATCTCTAACTATTTTTCCCGGGCCCCACAACAAAACTTGAAAAAATCATGCGGATGTGTTTTTTTTTTCAGATTAAAACTGCGCGCCTGCAAGCTAGATTTGTAATAACATCCTTTAATTTGGTTCTAGTGTAGCAATTTCTTAAATAAAACTACTCCACTAATTGAGGCCTCGATTTTGCTTTTGAACTTGCGAGACTCTCAACACATCTAAATTCCCTTTGAGGTTTTACTCCT